CGCGCCCGGCCATTTTTTGGTTGCAGGCATCATTGTTTGGCGGGCCCGGGCTGGGGATTTGAACCCGCCACCTTAGGTGTATGTGGCTGGCGCCTTAGCTGCTTGAGCCACAGGCGCTGAGCCACTCAAATAGTTTTTAAAGTTAAGTGTTCCACACTAGTTCAAAGAAGAGCTAGAGGAAACTACAGATTTAAGGTGTCTTTCACAACAGAAGATAATGGTTTCTCCAACTGTCATAAGAAACAAATGTTCAAAAAAATCCATAAATTTTAAAACACACAACCACAACCCCCCTTTTCTGTATAACAAAGTATAATATAGTCTACAGATAGATTGTGTTAGTTCAAAATTTAAACAGAAAAACTAAATAGCTGGCTAGAACAAAAATAGGTATATGAGATGAACTCATTTATAACCTAAACTTAACTAACTGGTTTGTTTATATCTAAATCTTAGAAACCGGTCCACAATTAAGATGCAAAACTAAAAAAAAACAAAGAAAAGAAAAGAAAGATGCAAAACTCAATACAAAGACACTTTCTGGAATATCAGCTAGAAGGCACAGATTTTTGTTTTGTTTTTGTTTTGAAAGCACAGATTTAAAACCAGAAGGCAACATCACAGCCAAGTAAAGATCTTTCAGTTGCCGACAACATACACGACCTCAGTACTGCACTTCCTAAAGGTTTAGAGATAAAAATCCTGAAGGGGAAGGAGCAAATTAATTAGAAATTTTAGCCAAACTCCAGTGACTTAAAAACAACACAGAGGAGCCATTGATTGGGAAACCTGATGCAAGCACAGTTTCATTATCTTTGAAGCCAAAATCAACATACTAGGCAATGAAATTAAAAATTATGTACAGCAATATTATTTTTAGCATTCAGTGAATCCAGCTACAGGGTAAATATATGGCTGGTTATGGAATAGATACTGAGCAATACAATACCCCAAGGTCTTGTTGATAACTGTTAAGAAAATTACTGATTTTGCACCTCCATACAACAAGCATGCTTTGGACTAAATATTTACTGAGCTTTTTTTTTGCCCTTTTTGGCCGGGGCTGGATTTAAACCCACCACCTCTGGCATATGGGACTAGTGCCCTACCTTTCTGAGCCACAGGCGCCACCCTACTGAGCATTTATTATACATACTATAGTAAGCAAAAGGAGGGATTACAAAAAAAGTCAATTCCAGATCTCATGGGATTTACAGTTTAAGGCAGGAAGATTAAGATGTACAACAAGTATGTTTCCACTAAAGAGAATTCCAACCATACATCTCCATCAATCCCCCTAGTTCCAATAAATTATATGTGAGTCAGGTGTGTCCAAACTGCAGCCCATGGGCTGCATGCAGATTTTGTGAGGACTATTTTGCTTACCTATGATGGCAGATATCACGAAAATTATACATGGACCTTTTCTTTGCTTATGAGCTTTCATTAGTGTTTGTGTAGCCCCAAACAACTCTTACTTTTCCAATGTGGCCCACAGAAGCCAAAAGGTTGGACACCCCTGGAAGACTCCAAGATGTTAGAAAATGGGGAGTGTCTTTTTCAAAAAAACTACCTAATATTAAATGAAGGAGGATTGTCATGCAGGGGAATGGAGGACTGACTCTACATAGGCTTCCTGGGGTAAATACAGGAGTAAGAACAAGGTTAGGGTCAATCAGTCCCCGTGTCACTTTCTAATCTTTTTTATTGTGAAAAAATAGAACTCAGTGAATTACCCCATATCTAATGCCACTCAGGCCAAGAAATGGACCAACCCCAAAAGTCTTCATTGTCTCCCTCAATTACTACTTTCTTTTCCTTGCAAAGGAAACCATTATTCTAACTTTTATAATACTGTTTATGTTTTCTACCCAATAATATATCCTTAAATACTAATGTTTATTTTGCCTTTAAAAAATCTTTATAGGCTTGGCACCCATAGCACAGTGGTTGTGGCACCAGCCACATACACTGAGGCTGGCGGGTTCAAACGTGACGTGGGCCAGCTAAACAACAGCTAAAAACAACTGCAACAAAGAAATAGCTGGGCGTTGTGGTGGGCGCTTGTAGTCCCAGCTACTTGGGCGGCTGAGGCACAATAATTGCTTAAACCCAAGAGTTTGAGGTTGCTGTGAGCTGTGATGCCATGGTACTCTACCAAGGGCAACATAGTGAGACTCTGTTTCAAAAAAAAATCTTTATATATATCAATTACATAGTTATGTGGTGTTTCAGGCTTCTTTCACTCTACATTATTTGTGAGAGACATCTATGCTGTTGTATGTAGCTGTAGTAGTTCACTCATTTTCATTGTATATATACAGTAGAATTGCCAAGTTGACCACCTCCCTCTACCGGCCACCCCAAGTTGACCTAGATCTGACATGCACCACATGTATGTATCAGTACAGCAGGCCTACTTCCTTATGCTGACCACATCTGTATGTTGATTAGTTTGTTGCAGTCCCTTGGGTGGTCAACTCACAGAGATTCTACTGTATTAAGATTTATTTACCCATTCTATGGTTAATGCTTGGGTTGTTTCCAACTTCTTGTTTTTTTAAAATAATGCTGCTTTGAGCATTCTTGTACCTGACTTTTGATGCACAGGTGCCTATATCTATTAGGTGTACAACTAGGAGTGACACTGCTGGGTCCAAGGGTTTATACTGTCACCTTTAGTAGATAACAGCAAACTGGTTTTCAAAGTGATTTGCCAACTTACACTCTTTCTAGCAGTGCAAGTGGGTTCTTTCTAGTTCTATGCT